ATCTGAGCATGCTGAAAGCGCTTGAATTCTTTGAGATGGAGGAGCTGATCAACACCCTCCGTCCCGGAGTAGATGGTGGAGATTACTGGAGGGTTGCACGGATTCCGGAGGTGTATTTCACCTATTGTAGGAATGGAGAATGGGAGGTGTATTCCTTGGAGAGTTCCGGGGATATGGTGCTCAGTGAACGGGAAAATGGGGAGTCTCATGGGGAGGGCATAGTGAAGAAATGAAGAATAATGGGAAAATACCTTTATGGTACACTTCCTTTATTTTTCTTCCTCGTTTAGTGAAGTATATATTTTAAATTTTTTATAAATGTAAATACTCTAATGGTATTTATTATAAGTATTATGAATGTTGAAAATGTTTATAATATTTTTTAATGTAACATTTAAAATAAATTTTTTTATTAATATTAATTAAACAAATTACTATAAAATTAAAACAAATAATAATCAAAACTCTCTCTTCATTTTTTTCTAACTACTTTGTTACATATTTTATTCCATTCTAAATTAGTTGATGTTTAAAATTAGTTTTTTTGTTTGATTATTTCAATTAAAAATTTAGTCATATAGAATATTTTTCTTTTAGTTAATGATTAAGATTAAAAGAATTTTTTGCTTAGAAAAATTAAAAGAATTTGTTTAATTAAATTAATCATATTAGTAAAAGAAATCAAAATTTTGGTAATCAAAACTAAAATTTTGAATTAGATTCAACTATTAAAATAAAAATCATTAACTAAAATAATAAATGTTAATGGTATATTTGGGTTGAAGGGAATGTAGGAGAGCTGAGGAGACAAATTTCTTTTATTTGATCACTAAAAGAATTGAAATAGAAGGGAGGAAAATAAAATTGTTTACTTTATTTTTTTCTTTTAATTCATTTATTTATCTAAATAGGAGGAGTTCTCTTCAAACCAAATACATTGTTAAGAAAAATCAATGAGTATCTACTATTTTAACTATTTGCCAAAAAACGATTTCAATCTTTATTTTATTTGAAGGAAGATGGACCGACCATAAAGGAATCTACCCAAGAATAAAATCCCAAAACATGGTTTTTTAGATTGGGCTACACAATCTCATTAGAAATAGTATAGGAAAGAGTTCTTATTAGAAATAGTATAGGAAAGAGTTTCTTTAAGAATGTTTGAATTGTTATGAATCAATTAATTGTGGATGTTTCACCTTCCTCATCTTCTCACCTCCCTACTTTTCATGGCATTTACAAACCAAGTAATGGTGTAGCTTATATTACCTCCATGCAATTACAATGGTAATTAAACACTTCATAATTTCATGCATTTAGATGATGATAGTGGGATTCCTTGTAACCCCTACTAACCCCTACTAACCCCTATATATAGGGCTTGTACTCTTGCGAATGTATGGAAATGTATGGAGAACAAATGGAGAAAAAAGGAATAGAAATATAATATATCTTTGCATTGCCTCACTTTATCTTTCTAATTTTTCTTCTTCTTCTTCTAATTGTTTTTCTTTTCTTTTCTTTTCTTTTCTTTTTTTCATTTTACAACAAGTTATTAGCATGACTTGCCTCTATATGAATTACTATTCATGAATCCTATTTGAGGTGATGAACCAATTGAGATAAAGATATAAGCTGAGGTAAAGTTTTGAGGTAAGATTTTGAGATAATCTAGTCTTTCAATTTTTTGTTTTTTAATTTGAATATTTTATAATGCTATAATGATCTTCTTGTTTATATTTTATTTTGCATTTTTCAAAAGACTTGAGTTCATTGCCCTTGATAAATTGGGCTTCAACTATCTGTTGTGAGCTCTTGATGTAAAAATTCATTTATCTCCAATGAATCTTGAATATTCAATTGTGAAAGGGAATAAAGTATCTCTTAAAGAAAGAATATATTCTTGAAAAAAGGGGCATCCTTGAAGGATTGCGATGAAATGATATTTCTTCATTATGAAATCCAAAAAGAACTAAGAGATGAATATTTGATGATGAATGATGCATTGAAATCATGGAATTGTTTGGAAAAAAAGATGATCATCAAAAGAAAATTACAATTCTTCCAAAATGCTAGCTATGAATGGATCAATTTATTACTTGAGTATGAATCTGCAATATTTTGAATTATTTTCATGCGAAGAAAATGATTATTGATGAAGGCATACTAGAGAAGATATACTCTTTTTTTCATGCCTTGAATATACTCCAAAAGTAGCAATTTTGAAAGGGTAATTTTAACATGTATATTCAAAGTAAATATATGTTTTCTTGTTGCTAACAAAATTATGAATTGATGAAAAATCATCAGTTACAACCATTGATTTGATTCCATTCTTGAAAGAGAATGTGACATCATTTTATGATCATGGTTATGAATATTGTTGTAAAATGAGCATATGCAAAATGAAAAGATTTGCAAAATAAATTGGCAAAGAACTTAAGAATTCTTAGATATGACACGAACGAATATTGGTTATATATCTTTCGTATATCCAAGTAATTCATGTGCTTATTATATATCTCCAAGTATTTGCTTAATTTATTACAAGCTTTACCTAATGAGAAAGAAAAAGGTGCAAAAACATATTTTTGTGGAAAATAATATTATGAATAGGCACTTGTTATATTTGCGATGCACAATTTTATTTTAAATTTAAATATATTATATCCATGTTGAGAATATTGGAGAAATGTATCTCAAACATTTGAGAAATTAAATATGCATCTCAATGTGAGGATTGTGAATTAAAAGGAGAACTTATTGAGATCAAATCTCCTCAATAAGAATTCATTTCCAATAAGAAAATGAGATACAAGAATGCATCTATGAATGGATATGAATTTTATAACATTTCTTATATGGGGAATTTATATCCCAAATTTTGATATTTATATTAATCTCATTTATTATCTCTCAATATAGAGGTTGCATATTGATGGAGATATACCTTGAAAAAAAGTATCCTTATTGCATTGATGAAACCAAGGATGAAAAGTTGAAATTGTGTAAAACATCGCTATCAGACAATGAAGGTATAATGATACCTCTGTAATAAGTAAAATGTGGCATATAGACAGTCCCATTATACAAAATGTATAATGGTGGAAAATAGAACTTGAAAAATTATGTCATTTTTTTATGTGCAAAAGGTTATGCCATGATGAAATATCCCTAAAAAAACTTTTCCCAGCTACACTTAGCCTAAAGCTAATGTGATATTTTGTGTTACAAGTTTGATGAAAAATCCAATGAGCTTGTACATTGTTTGCTCTTGAAAAGTTTAAATCTTATAGCTTGGAAAAACAAAATTTTAAATATGTGACTAGTTCTATTCTAGTAGATTATATTGGAATCTACTAAATTTTAAGGATACAAATATACAATAGTTATCATATTGAAACCATAAATGAGAATAGCACAAAATGCCCCTCATGTCACATCTCTTATGTGGCTAAAAGGCATATATTTGAAAAGCTTTTTCTTCTTAATTACATACATGAATCTAATAGGATCAAACATTAAGACTAACTAAAAAGTTGATCATAGAATGATTTGAGCCTAAGTAACTTGGCCATCAAGTGATTTTTCATGTATTATATCCCTTGAGAACATGATTACCAAGCCTTTTACAAATATAATTGAAATATAATCTCCTTCATTGTTATATTGGATTTAGGAAGACATATAAGTCTTAGCTCGATTATTTGAAATATATTTTAATATATTATGGCATTAATATATTCTTGAATATGAAGGTGACAAAATAGTCCTTTAAGCAATATGAAATATTACGTTAAAAGCATATCTGGCTTGATAATCCCAAAGAAGGCTAGGAGTTATATGAGTTGATTATGGATCTTTTTACAATAAAAATTTTTGATTATCAATCTAAAGGAATCATGTTCCTAGCATCAGGGGAAGAGGAATAAATATTGGAAAGGCAAGAAAGAACTTGAGATGCATCTTTTAAGATTCTCGAATAAGTTGATATGAATTAGAACTCCAAAATTTTATAGTATCAATTGATGGATGCATCTATTGACGAAATGAAAGTAATAAGACATATATCCAAGCTTCAAGTACTCTTGCTTGTATTGATATTCTTATTAGAAAAGTTGCTAAAATATTAGCAAATGAGTATATGCTAGAAGTGTGTTAAAACAAATGGTTCTAAGGATAAAAATTCAAAAATAAAGAAAAAGTATAAGCAGAATGTTAATACTGTTGAAATTACAAAACTCTTAAAAAGTTCTTAACAAAACGACCCTAAGAAAGGGTTTAGGTACTTGAAAACAATAAGAATGTTAAAATTATATACAATGATGAAATCTCTATAAGTTATGATTCTCCCAAAAGATGATGGAACCAAAATGAAATTCTTATTGATTAGAAATTCTTGCATATGCAATAGTGATGGATATAGTTAATGAAAATGAGGCTCTTGGATCATATTCATTGAAAAGTGTCGACCAAGAAATGATTGGCCAATATGAAAAAGAGATGATCCAAGTGGAATTAAAATCACAGGAATTGCATGATGTTCTTGGCTCAGTATTGGATAAGTATTCCAAACATATAATAAAATAGTATCTATTAAATTTATTCAAATGAAAAGCCAATAAATTTTCTTTACAAAATGATTGGCTTTTGAGCAGTTAAGACACTAGATTGGCATGAATTGCCCGATTATGAAGATACATTGAATTCAGGGGGAGCAGTATAAACACTGTACTCTTTTTCTCTTCACCCAGGTTTTTTTCTTTCCCATTGGGCTTTTTTCCTAGCAAGGTTTTTAATGAGGCAATTTGACAAGTATATAATAAAAGATAAATATCCAAGAGGAAGTGTTATGATTAATTTATTGTGGATGTTTCACTTTCCTCATCTTCTCACCCCTACTTTCCATGGCATTGACACACCAAGTAATGGTGTAACTTCCACTACCTCCATGCAATTACAATAGTGATTAACACTCCATAATACCATGCATTTAGATGGTGATAATAGGATTCCTTGTAACCCCTCCATTAGGAGAAGATTAATTCTTATAACCTTACATTTAATGGGTGTTAATTCCTTGTAACTCATATCCCATATTAATCCCTATATAAAGGGCTTGTACTCTTGCAAATATATGGAAATGTACGAAGAACAAAAGAAGAAGAAAGACATACAAATATAATATATATATATATATCTTTGCATTGCCTCACTCTTTAATTTTTCTTCTTCTTCTAATTGATTCTTTCTTCATTTTACCACAGGAATAATTTTAAATACAATTTTGAGATTTTACATGTTAGAGCGGAATGATTTTCAATTTTCTCTTTTGCATTTTTTCTTTGTTTGGCAAAAATTGTTATTTTGAACTTTTTGGGCCGGGCATGTCTGATGACCCAAATGGCCTTTTTGTGACTTGACCCAATAGTCTAGTACAATAGGGTTGGGTTGGGTTGGGTTTGACAAAGAGCGGTGACAGTGATTAAAGACCCCCTGATATGGTGCGTGAAGCCAGCTTTCCCAACTGAGACGGTGGCGGTGGGTCACCGGAACCGAAGACACTGACACAACACAACACAAATAAACCTCCCATTTTCTCCCATCTATCAAGTACGCTCTCAAGACCCCCCCTTGGAAGTCAACATAGTCCAGTTTCTGCTTACAGCTTAATCCGCCAATTAGGTTCTCTCCCACATTTTCCCTTATCCCACTCCTCCTTTTTCTTCATTATCTTTTCACTTGATTCTCATAGTATAACGCAACCTTTTCTTTAAACGATCGTTTCCTTGGTGTGAAGCTTATATCTGTTTTCTTATGAATAGGCAATTAACCTCTCTGTAGGTCCTAGATGAAGCTGATCGAATGCTTGATATGGGCTTTGAAGAGGATGTTCGCTCATATTGGGGAACACAAAGTTCTGGTATAATCCAAATATCAGAATTCATTTTTTTTTTATCACCAATGAAAGTAAAGTAAGTGCTTAGTCACTGCATGGGTTTGAACCCCTAACCTTAACCCCCCCAATCGGACGGTTTTGAAGTTAGTGGTGTCAACTTGGCTAAGCTCTTGGATGTTTGGCAGATCAGCATGCTATCTTTTATTTTATTTAGCATGTTGATGATTGCTCTTACTTGCAAAATTTTACTTCCCAATTGAAAGGTGGGGATCTTCTCACCCATCTTCTGAACCCATGCAGCTTGTCAGATGGTAATGTTTCGTGCTACATGGCCTTTAGATGTTCATCGATTGGCTCAGGAGTACATGGACCCCGATCCTGTAAAGGTTTGCATTTTCGTTTATATCAACAATTTCAAGTTCTCAACCACTTCCTATTTATCTAATTGGAAAATGATGTATTTGCTTCCAGGTTGTGAAAGGCTCTGAAGATTTAGCTGCCTACCATGATGTTATGCAGATTGTTGAGGTATGACTTGGCATAACCCTCTAGAACTGTATCTATTATATATTTACTCTTCATGGAACGGGGGATATGCACGGCTTTATTTACAATGTTTCTTTTAAATGTGTAGGTTTTGGATGAGCGGTCACGTAATGAGTGTTTGATTGCTTTGCTGAAAAATACCATGAATCTAAGAGGTATTTGTGGGCACTTGTCATTTAATTCCACCAATCATATATAATGAGAAAATACCTGAAGTTTTTGTCTTATTTTTGCAAGGGTGTGTTATTTTTATATTTGTGAAAATAGTGT